AGATGATCATACAGTATGTTGGGTCTATTTGCTAAAAGAAAAATCTGAAGTTGAACATGTTTTCAAAATATTATATAACATGATTCTAACTCAGCTTGGTACTAAGATTCAAATTCTTAAAAGTGACAATGGTAGGGAATATGTTACTAAAACTCTTCGGAATTTTTTAGATGCTCAAGGCGTAGTTCAGCAAAGCTCATGCGGTAGATACTCCACCACAAAACGGCATATCCGAAGGAAAAAACACCATATCTGAAAGAAAAAATAAGAATCTTCTTGTTTACTGTTTCCAACTGAAATACCAAAATATTTATTGGGAGATGCTCTTTTGCATGCTACTTCTTGAATGAACCGAATGCCTTCTAAAGCTCTACAGTTTCAAACACCCACATTTGTAAGTTCTTTTCCAAAGTCACGTTATTTCATTCCATGCCTTCAAAAGTTTTTGGTTGCATTGTGTTTACTAAGAACACCAATATCAACCTCTGCAAATTAGACCACAAAGCCCTCAAATGTGTTTTTGTAGGAATCGCACCAAATAAAAAAGGGTTTAAATGTTTTCATCTAAACACGGGGAAAATGTTTGTTACCATGGATGCTAAGTTTTTTGACAATATTCCATTTTCTAATTCTTGTCTTCCAAGGCAGAATAAAAAAGAAGACTTGATTTTCATCTAGCATTTTCATCTACATTTGAGCCATCTACATTCGACTCAAATTTCAAAGATTGTCCAATCTTTGAAGATGAGGGAAATGTAGATGTTCCAATGGTTGAACATGTGGAAAATGTAGATCATATTCCAATAGAACCAACACTAGACCAAGAAAATGAATATAATATTCCTGAAGAAACTGAAGTACCATGTGAATCTCAACAAGTTACTCAAGAGAATTGTGGTGAACAAGAAAAAAAACAATTTGGAAAAGTGTATGAGCAAAGATTCCCTCCAAACAAAGAGTCCAACACTAAATCAGCCCTGATTCCAAACCAAGGAAGGAACCATCTCTTGGTAAGTCATGTGATCTGAATATTCCAATAGCCTTGAGAAAAAAAAATGTGCATGTGTTAATATCCTATTTCCAGCTACATCGTCTTGCTCAAACCTCTCACCTAAATACCTTCCACTTCAAATGTGTCCCAAGTTTAAATCCCCAACACTATACATGAATCTCTAAAAATTCCAGAATGGAAAAAGGATGTTCTAGAGGAATTGAGTGCTCTTGAGAAGAATCAGACGCAGTGTGCTGAAAATCTTCCAAAAGGTGCACCCACAGTTGTAAGTGGGTATTTACTCCAAAATTTAATGTTGATGGAGCCTTTGGAAGATATAAAGCAAGGCTAGTAGCCAAAGGTTTCACACAAACTTATGGCATTGATTATACAAAAACCTTTGCTCCAGTTGCAAAGTTGAATACAATAAGGATTCTACTTCCAGTGGCAGCAAATCTTGATTGGCCAATCAGGCAATTTGATGTAAAAATGCCTTCTTGAATGGCAAACTAGAAGAGAAGTTTATATGTTGTCACCACCTGGATTTGAAAGTAACTTTGGTACAAAAGTGTGTAAATTAGAGAAAGCTTTGTATGGGCTCAAACAATCCCCAAGGGCATGGTTTGCACATTTCACTCAAGTAGTCAAAAGTCATGGATACAAACAGGACTTGATCATACTCTATTTACTCGATTTTCTTCAAAAGGTAAAATCACAACTTTAATAGTTTATGTAGATGACATACTCCTCACAGGTAATGATCATGAGGAGATGGAAAGAATGAAGGACTGCTTGCTAAAGAATTTGAAGTAAAGGATCTTGGAGAAATGAAATATTTTCTAGGTATGGAGGTTGTAAGTTCAAGTAAAAGGTATTGTGTTGTCACAAAGGAGATACATTCTGGATCTTTCACGAGATACTGGAATGAGTGCATGTCGACCGATAGATACTCCAAATTGACCCCAACAAAAGGTCGGATGCCATTGCTGGTTGATATTCATCATTACCAATGACTGGTTGGAAGGTTGGTTTATTTATTACATATACCGCCAGACGTTGCTTTTGTAGTTAGCATAGTGAGTCATTTTATGCATCGTCCTTACGAAGAACATCAAGAAGTTGTCCACAGAATTTTTAGATATTTAAAGAGTTGTCCAGGCAAAGGACTACTCTTTAGAAAATGAGACAACCAAACCATTGGAGCCTTTACTGATGCAAGTTGGGCAGACCCAAACATGAGCAAAAGATCTACATCGGGATATTCTAATTATGTATGGGGAAATCTTGTCACATGGAGAAGCAAGAAACAAAGTGTTGTATCCAGAAGCTGAATTTAGATCAATGGCAGATGGCATATATGAAATAATTTGGATCAAAGAATCTTTGTTGACTCACGGTTAAAAGTTGAGCTACCTATGAAGTTGTTTTGCAATAATAAAGCAAGCCATTAGAATCTCACAAAATCCGATCTAGCACGACAGGACAAAACACATTGAAGTGGATCGATACTTCATAAGGGAAAATTTGGAGAATGGGACTATCTGCATTGCATTCATTGCATTCATTCCATCCAAAGAGCAAATATCAGATATCTTAACCAAAGGGTATTAAGACCGACATTTGATCTTCTTATAGATAAGTTGGGCATGTATGATATATATGCACCAACTTAAAAAGGGAGTGTGGAATTGATATACAAAATATAATCCCTGATCTCTTGGGATTATATTTTCCTTTTGTAACAAATTTGGATATTTGTATAATCGGTAACAGATTTAATTGATACATGTATAGTTTGGTAAGTTTCCTTGTATGTTATCAAATCCCTTAAATTGTGGGATTATAGTTAGGCCTCTAAGCTGTATTTATACTCCTTTGTTTTTTTCAATGAGAATTACAACATAATTTCTCTGAAAATTCAAAAGAGATGCGTATATTTCATTATTTACATTCAATATTACCAAAAAATGAAGAGTGTGCGATAAAAGCAGGGTGTAATATGCCGAGACTAGAAGTCCTGTTAGTTGAAGTGTACATTTCATAACTGTCAGTCAGGCCACCTATGACTCGGGGAGACTGTTCGGTGATACAAATTGTTGATCCTCTCAGTGATTTGATGATCCTTTTTATCTTACGAAGTGTACTATCTTTTTATTCAGCTTCAGCGATCATCACCGGGTCTGTTCAGTGATCACTGAACATGTATTGTAATTCTCTCAGAGACAAGTATTCTTCAGGAAGACAAAACTCACACCACAGAACCTTCAATGATATCGAAGATGAAGCTGAAGATAGAGACAAGCAAGTTCGTGAACGGTGCGGTTATTAGTGATAACAAGTCTATCTACACTCTACACAAGTGTAAAATCTACTCAAGATTCAACGAACACTGAAGAAACCTCAGCATTATTCCAGTGTCAGCGATCAAATGAATCTTATTGAACAAGATTAGTTTTTGTCTTGTCCTTCTACACACAAAGGACAAAACCATATCTCTCAAAGTAAAGTACTGTACGGAGTCACTCTATTATCTCCAAGCGTGCTTACCTACTTTGTGAAAGACTACTGTTCATATATGGCAAAAGCCGTATGTGCAACAAAGGACAAGCTCACCTCTAGAAGCTTGTCACGTGTTTTGTACTGCCTGATTTGCATTTAATGCAACATGTATAGATAGCTGAGAAGCTCTTCCTTCTCAGTTACCACCTACAACCAGAAGAAGCAAACTGTTGCCAATAATTCTTACTTCTTGAAGATCAACTCTCTACCTAAGAGAGGCTTTTTCTCAAGCACAAGACTTCTTAACCTTTTCTTCTAACAAGTCTTTTCTTTCTTGCTTTCTGTATCTTGTGTGTTTCTTTGATTGTTTAGTTCTATATCTTATCTTTTCCGCAAACAATCTGTAAAATTCTGTATTGATCTTCTCTATCAATAAAAAAAATTTAAAAGTAAAAGTTGTTGTGTTTGTATTCATCATCTCCCTTCTACAAACTGTTACCTTTAAACTCTTGTAGATCCCGCTGGGACCAACACAAATACAACACTCTAAACCATAAAATGTAGCATATATGTTTTTTGGATGAATTAAAAGTGAATATGAAAAAGATATATATATATATATATATATATATATAATATTTGAAGGGGCAAGAAAGAAACCAAGAAACCTCTACACTACAAAACAAGGCACGGTGAACAAAACCACAAGACAAGAGAAAAAACATGGAACTATTGTGAAACTATAACAAATTAAAAAGTCGAGCCCTAAAATTAATCGAAACAAATCACCCAATATTAAATGAATGCGAAAATGGATTTTAATGGTCAGCAAATGGCAATGTAAGCAATGTCCAGCAATGAACCAATAATAACCACCCATGATAAATAGGGACAGAAAGAGTGATACTTGGATTTATACGTGGGAAAACCAAATCAGGAAAAGAAAAAACAGGTAGAGGATGCCGAGAAATGATCCATTCTATAGATTCATGATTCCAATGTTTGAAGGATGATCAACTTGGCTGAATAGAATAGTTCCCGGGAGTGTAATGAATGAGGATGTACCCTAAATAACCAACAACGATATTTATGTTATAGCACTAGGCCAGTAAACTAGGAGAGAAGCCCTTCAAGTAGACTCATGGGACTAGATACAATATAGATGATTTATTTTTGGACAGGAAGAACATCAAAAAAGAACATTTATGCATTTATGCCGAACTAATGTTTCCAACCTAGACCCAAAAGTTAGGCTACAATAGTTTATTTCAGCAATACATTCTACAAAATTACCACCTGCAATAAGCTGCAGATAAATAAGGCAATGCAAGACATGAAATGCATAACCTCTATAACTGAAGTACATAATCATATAAGGAAGTTTTGGTACCATAAAATACTCTGTCCACATAAATCAGACATAATGCATGCAAGAGGCTCCCAAATGCTACACAGCATAATAGAAATACAAACCTAATGGTATATGAGGGCTTCTCTGCTGATAAGTTACCTTTTCAAAGTCGATCACTTCAACTTCATAAACTAGGGTAGAAAATGGAGGAATTACAGCCAGATCACACATCACTTCTTTACTTCCATATCCATATTCGTGACCGATGGTCAATGTTGCCTTCTCCCCCTTCTTCATCGTTGCCACTGCTCGGTCTAAGCCAGCAATCACTTGTTCTGCAAGCATAGTTCTTTACTGTTTTTGACAACTAATATCAATTTACTGATGACAACCTAGCTATTAGCCTGCTATTAGTAAATTCACAATTCCTCACCACCAGAAAATGAATATATGGAGGGCATGCATCATCTATCAGCAATATAGAATGCACGCTTGAAGAGCAAAGTCAGGTGTTCTGACTGCCCTGAGTGTCAGAAAAACTAAACACTGGTTGGCACCCAGCTAAAGGAAGACATATTACACACTAACCTTCATCAGTAATGAAGCTTAATGAAGTCTCTCCATCATAACCTTTTTTCTCAAACACAGTTCCATTTTCTAGCATAGCTCTATACCTGACTACACACAAAAAAATAAGATCTGATTAGAATAACAAAACAAATATAAAATAGGATTTGAACGTTAATCATATAGTACTGGATATTAAAAAGAATCACACTGGTGCATATTCATGTGGGAGTGTCATGATATTTTATGTGTTTGTGTATATCTAGTCTTAAGTTCTTCATGTTTTATCCTTTCTTCACATAATCTTTTCCTAAAATCAGCACTCACAATGAGAACAATGTTGTCCATGGATATCCAGGAGGAAGATGATAACTCAATTCTTCGCATATAACATCACAACTTGGGTACTATAACCATGTAAAACATCGAGCCACAACTTGGGTCACTCGCATTTAGAAGTGTTAAAAAAGTGGGTTACGCGCCTATTTTGGACACAAATGTCATTTTCTAATCGAAAGATTATTTGTAAAGACATCTTTGGGTTTTTGTTTTCATCTGTGAGAGCTTTGTTCTGATATACCACTGGTCCACAACGAGATTTGGTGAATGGGAAATTGATCCACAAGGTTTCACCTTTGGGTGAAAGTTAGGTGTCAGAAGGGAGGTGTTCCACATAGGTGGAAAAGGGGAATGGAAGTGAGATTATATAAGATTCTTATTCCATGAAGTAATCTAGAGCTTATGCATAGCGCAGGGTACAAATCATGGATAGATATTGGCTTTGGACAACTAAACTTATATGTACGAGCTCCTCCTGTGGGTATGAATGTCATGCGCTTGACAACATAGTTCAACCCATGTTTTGCTACATTCTAGAAATTTCCAAGGCTCTCCATATTCGTAACTCCCAAGTGTTTGTCTTCCATAACCTCCATATGAAACCGGTAATATATGTTTTTGCTTGAAAGACACCCAACCGGAGATATACAAAAAACACCAACACAGCTTCTTTGCATTTGTTGTAAGATACAAAACAGAAAATAGAGGTAGAGATCAGGTATAGTTAAGTTCGCCAATTCTTCAAAAGAACCGTTTGGAGTTAGTGTATCCATGGAAACAAACGAACCAGTTGGGGTCGAATCTGTTCTTTTATTTTTCGGTTTGGTGAAACTATTTGGGAATTTTTGCTGAAATTTTACTAACAACTTCTGTATTAGAAAATTGTCATGTTCCAATACTTAAGAAAAGGAATTATATGCAGGCATGTGTAAGTACATCATTTACTGTTGATGGCATGTGGTGGAGAAGAATGCAAGAACAAAGCACAACTAAAGTAATAGTTCCGGCCAACCTCCATTTGGCTTGTGATGGAAGTAATTTGATATCATTCTGGCATCTAACTTCTCCAAGTCACTTTTCTTATCAAAAGAAGCTTACTGAATTTCAGCAATGGTGGACCTTAACATCCATCCATCTATATGCATATTGATTAATATATCACAATGTGCGAGATTGGTATACTTACTAATAACAGAAGCACCTTCATTTGCTGTGAGAGCTCCTTCGCCCTCTTTCAGTATTTTCTTCACCACCTTCAAATCATTGGTTACATCGACTACAGGCTTGAACGATAGCAATTCCAAAGCAACACGCAGCGCAGAATCTGGTGGAATGGGAGAGCATCCATTGGGTAGTGTGGTAACCCCTCCACCAAAAGCATCTGAATTAAAATGTTGGTATTTTTAGATTATAAACTGTTATGAATCTCATCTTCCTAGCATGAAAGAAATGGTTTAGCTTAAATCAAACAGAACTAACAACCAAAAATGATATTTAGAATGACAATAACTTTCATGTTATCAAATGTCAGTTCTCCTTAAGTAGTTAATTATAAATGACTATCATGTCACAAGACATAATCAACCTTCAAATTCCTAAGGCAAGAATAGTTACTCAGGGAAATAAACATGTCCTATAATGATATTAGCGATATGGAACCCAGGAATCCAAAGCCTTACACTGTGGTTGAACAATCAGATCCGCTTTTTCTTCTCTTGTCATGGTTTTGATTGCTTTTGGCAGTGCCATACAAAAATGACCTAGTATGAACACACAATAGGGGTTGGTTTAATAATAATTGTCATTCCTCTGAAAGATTTTGATTACATAAAAATTGTTAGAATAAAAGAAAGCAACAGCAAAAATATATTATTTACCATCTTTCAAGTAAAATTCAACACCCTCGTTTGGTGATTCAGCAACTGTAACACCATCAAGCAGCGTCACTACATACCTCACTGCACCAACCAACATCAGTGACTGATGAGATGTATTTCCTCATTACTTGTCAGCTAACAAGCCCTACTTAATGGAGAATATAAATTTAAAAAGGAGCATTGCAAAAGGAGTCTAAAGGACTACCTTTAACCTCATCCAAATCACCAGGTTGCCCTGTCTGTTCCCCTTTCTTCACTACTCTCTTAAGAATGCCACCATCCTTGCAGACATCTACTACTGTGATCCATGAGATGAGCTCTACCTCAAAGTAAATAAAAGAATTTGGAGGGACGCCATCTGTTCCTGCAGCTCCAAATCCTAACTGGGGAGGCAAAGTAAACAATGCTATTTCCCCTTTCTTCATGGTAAGAACTGCCTGATCGAACCCAGAACAGACTTGGTCTGATAAAGTCAAAAAGACAACAGATGAGATCAGCATTGAGGATGATCATTTAAATTGCAAAGTAAAATGACAGCAAGTCCATGTAAAATATGTTGGGGAGAAACAAATGGTAACATCCATGCTGTTCCATGGTGTTTCAAGTTGATTAGAGATAAAAGGATAAACGATGACTAAGTAAAGGTGTTCAAGATAGAAAATAGGTATATCATCTACACATATTTGTCATTCTTTACAGAAGACCACACAAACACACGAGGTCCATATCTATGCATGTAAAATGTACCCAAGGTTTTAAAAAGCGGAACCGGGACTCGAGGCGTTTTCCTTCCACGCCCTGAGGCGTAAGCCTCGAGGCTGTCTGAGGCGCAAGCCTCGAGGCGTAAAACAAATAAAATTCATAAATATTAATAGTAAGCAAAACATAATTCCATAACAAACTTTAAACGTCATAGATTCATAAAATACTAGTTATAAGTCTAAAAACATATCAATCTACAACTTATAGTTCCCCGTAGCATGATCAAGTTGTATAGCTCCACAATCGTATCCATAATCACTATCAATTTCATCTTCCAAATCCATAGAAAACAGAAAAATAATACAGAAAACTGAAAATAATATAGAAAATAAAAATAATACAGAAAACAGAAAAACAGAAAATATACAAAAATACCTACATAACACATTATACATATAGAAAATACATTATACATGATATTAGAACATATATACTTGACTGAAATATGTATAATATAATATAAATACATTATACATAAACTAAAAACATGAACACAAACTAAAAAGAACTTACTTTTTGGGTTGGCCTTTGAGATGAATATCTTCTTGAGAGAGGAAAAAGTTAAAAATGGAGGAGAAAAAAAAAGGGGGTTCGGAGAGGTATTCTCGGTGGAGAAGAAAATCTGAGAAGAAAGTAGGAGGAAACGACAAAAGTAGGATCAGGAAATTGAAAGGTAACATTTGTTTTTGATTGATAAGATAAAAGTACATCCTATAAAACGCTTCTTTGTACGTTTAAATTATAAAAGTATAATCGAGTGTTTGACTTTACTTAAAAAACACAAGTAATTTCAGGCATCTATTTTCAAAGAATCAAGGCAGCAGCAAACTGAGGCGTGCGCCTCAGAAACGCCTCAACGCCTCAAGGCACCGCCTCAACAATTGAGGCTTAAGCCTCGTCCAGGGACCATGAGGCTTTGCCTCATGAGCGGTTTTGGACCGCCTCGCCTCGAGGCATATGCCTCAAACAATTTTGGAAAACATGAATGTACCCACAGTGAATTGAGTAAAAGATCACAAGAAGAGGGATATATCCAAGTTTAAAAACTTCGAATACAAATATTAAATGTTTCTCTTATTGTACAAAAAAAATAACACATACCTTGTCAAATATTGATTGGAACATAAAGTTGGTTAAAAGATCTAAAAAGAATATTTGATCTTGATTGATTGACCATGACCTTTGAGAGGGCTTAAAGATGTAGAGTAGCAGACTATGTGCGGGGACCTATTACCTATAGACAACATAGCCGGGAGGAGGGGAGTTTAGAGGAGGTAGAGGGGTGGGCAAGGGGAAGGGTGTAGTATTGGCCCTTAGAGCCTCTCTATCAGCTATGCTATAGATGTTCTAAAATAGAGTATCAAATTAAAATTTCTAAAAAATTACATCCAACTACAACAGCTACTCTATTTTAACAATTATATCATTAACTATATTATTAAAATATTCAATACATTTAATAAAATATATTTCTCTCTCCTAAACACAATTTCAATATCTCCTATTGGTGAGAAAGAATTAAATATTGTTTCTCTCTCTTAAATATAGAGTTTTAGAGATCTCTACTCTCTCTCTCTTGTTTCTCTATTTTAGCATATGTTATAGCATAGCTGTTGGAGCAAGAATATACCCCAAATCTCCAAAAGCCCTATGTTAGGTAACTAAAGCCTTATGGTAGATGGAGATTTTCTTTAATTTTTCCTATTTCCATGTCTTATTTATGCTTTGTTTTATCGTTTATCTTATATTTCTCGTACTAGTTGCATGTTTGCATACACTCCTATGTTAGTATGCGACTTCTCTCACATGTCTCCTTGTTTTTATTGCTTTTGTTTTGCAAGCGGGGGTATTCACGGAAACCTCTCTACCCATAGGGTAGAGGCAAGGTCTGCATACATCCTACCCCCAGACCTTACCTTTATGGAATATACTAGGTTCATTTGGTTTGTGATTGGTCATGGTATGTCATCTAACACACGCAAGAAGTCAACAATAGAAAAAAGAAAAATCAGAAGAACTAGCACTAAGTGTTTCGAATAACCATTGGAAAAGAGAACTTTCACCGTCACTTTTTCACCAGCCTAGAACACAAAGAATCGAGTATTTTAAATAAATTAAAAATGTCAACATGCTAAAGCTCAAAATCACAAGCACGAGTTACCACAACAAAGGACCACCTAAATGAAGGAAAGTAAAAAAGTTATTCAGATCTTTTTACCAGAGACATAAGAAGCTCTAGATTCAAAATCACAATCAATGTGCCATGCCTGAAGAAAAGAAATACAAAAAGACAAAAAAATACATATTAAACAACAAACCTTGTCCAATCTTGAAGGTGAAGGGTTCCCCTTTATCTCTAGTGGAGATAAATGTAGTCCCATCAAGCAAAGTCCCCACATAATGAACTGAATCCATTCAAACAATCGAAAAAGGAAGTTATTATTAGCTAAAATAATACAAACACACTATAAATTCCCAGATATGGTATAGAAACTGCATTCGAATTAAACCTATTAATTTTCTACTGGAAACTCGATAGTGATATAGTTGCGAATTTAGCACCAATATGTGTAGTACCTGTTTACGAATTTGAATGCAAAAACAGCTTTTTCTCGAGAAATTATATATGCCAAAAGCAACTTCATTGGCCTTTCAAATCGAAGTGTGGCTCTAGTAGTAAACTTACATCATTTCAATTATAGACAAAGACACGAAACAGAGCTTACCGGTGGGTTCATCGCCACATTCAGGGGTTTCGAAACCAACACCACGGCGGAGGAGCTTCTTTTTTAATCCAGTGGAGTTGAAAACACGCTCCTCTCCAACTCTTAGAGGCGGAGCCGATTCGATCACTTCTCCTGGTTCTTCATCACTATCGGGGTCTTCGGCCATGTCTGAAATTTTTCGTCTTTTATTCTCTTCCACCATTGCAGAATAGAGATTCCTGATAAGTTGTGGAATTCTTTTGTCAATTATGTGCACACTGAATTATATTTAGCTGTTCCGACTGATGTAATACTGGAAAAGGAGAAGCTTGTAATTGAAAATCTAAGTTTCGATTACAGGAGTGGAGAGAGAGATTTTTATCTATGTTCTAAATGAAGTGAGAAGTGGTCGTCTACAAGTTACAACTAGACCGTGATGTTTTTAAGACCCGGCCTAAAACGATATATATACACACATTTATATGTGTTGGTGTTTTAAATAAAACCTAAAATAAATAAAATTTATATAAAGTAATAAAACTAGAAAATAAAGAAAACTATTGATATCAATTCTACAGAGCTTATCAATTATATGTGATGGGGAACTCAAGCCTTGAAGTCATAACGCGCCATAACGATGCCATAACGAGTTATTTAGAAGCATAATTTTTATAATATGAACATAATAAATTTATATAGAGGGTTGTATTTTCGTGAGAAGGTAACTGTTGATCATTTCTCTCGGTAATTTGATGATGATTCATTTTATCTATCGAAGTGTATTATCTTTGTATTCAGTTTCAGCGATCATCCCTGAGTCTGTTCAGTGATCGCTGAACATGTATTATAATTCATTCAGAGACCAATATACTTCAAGAAGACAAAACTCACACCACAGATCCTTCAGCAATGACGAAGACAGAAGCTGAAGATTAGAGACCAACAAGTTCGTGATCTGAAGCGTTTTTCAGTGATAACAAGCTCATCTACATAAGTGTGAAGTCTACACAAGATTCAGAGAACACTGATGAGACCTTCAGCGTCATTGTCTTTAAAATATTCGGATCAGAACTTGACAGAATTTCCCACCAATATAACGCACTTGACCGCAACCTGGATACAACAAACATCATTTTATCTTCATCCGCACTTTTACTGGTCTGTAAACTTAATTCAATTTCTTTAAGCCAACACATGGCTTTGATAGGATCACATTCTCCGGAAAAACTTAGGGGGTTTGCATGCAAGAAATATCTTGATATCTCCTCCTTTCTGTACTGAAGATAAATTGTGGTGCGAACATAGTCGTTACTGGTGTATTGGCTCCGGCTTCTTCATGAAAATTCGGGTTCCCTACTCCTTCTGTGTAGAATGCCCAGGCAAATTTATTAGATTTTCCTGAAATTTTCCTAGTTCAACTGTCAACATCTCCTAGGCAATAAACCCAGGGTCATGAGCATGACCTCTACCCCTTGTTTTGGTCCATCCTTGACCTGACATAGAACTTTCTTGTACCGATATTTCCTATTTTATATGGGCTTCTTGTTGAATATTTCTTCCTCTTCCTCGTCCCCGGCCTCAACTTCTTGTTTCAATGGTCGTAGCATTTTTTGGGTTTTCTTCTCTATTCACCATTGATCTTCCATTGCCTCTTCCATGGCCTGTAGAAGTTCTTCTAGATTGATTAGGATTGTCTGCTATTCTTTCTTAATACTTGCGTCACTTAAACTTCCTTACTGCCATAATAAACACATATTTAATTAATCATATACCAAGTATGACGCTCTTCACTTATATAGAATAGTGGTCCTTATTCAAAACTAGAACGCAATTCTCACTACGTCCAAGCAATTTCCTACCTAATGCATAGTGCAAATTTTGAATACAGAGGCTATAGAGACTATACCCCTTTATCTATGTCTAGCTACCAAGTATTTAGATACAGAGT